GAGTTTATTAGGCACGTCTGGGATTTGGAATGTGTCGGACGGCGACGAATCAATTAAATCAAAGGAGTTGAGTGGGGTCCGGGGAGACTATTTACTATTACTCTCGATCGAATCTATGTACACTTATTTTTCGCCATTCGGTAAGTAAGACAATATCCGCTAGGCTATACATACGGGTATTCCAGAGTATTTAGCCTGTCCGTCGCTGCAATCCAAAGCATTGACTTCCTTCATAGTTACAGATTTTTACATGGTTTGTCTCTCAGAATTCAACTCGTAGTTTCTAATGGATCGATGCTTCTGGTTTCGTTAGCCCTCTTTTTTTCCGCTCCCAAAATGATTTTTGCAGCTTACCAAGTCTGCTGTAAATTTGACCGATTGACTTATGAGGAATTGCTAACATCTTTCGATGTCTCATCATCATAGTTTTTGGTATTAAAAACTGAACTTTTTTATAGACTATTTTTATACTGCCCAAAAGAGCACTTTACCAAATTCGTAGATATAGTTTGAAACTTCATCCTATAAAGCGAACACGCAGCAAACGCTTTCCACAATAGAACCACAACCACCATAACGGTTCTTCAAAACCCGTTCAAATCGACATCCAAGAGCACTCTGCAAAATTAGACTCTGCTTAAAATGACACTCAAAAGGATAAAGCCGGTCCTGCTCAAAACGTTCTAGAAGTTCTTCAAAGTTAAATTCTGCTTAAAATAGGGCATTTTCACATGCACGCTATTAAAAAAAACACCCCTCTAACATCTCCGTTCTCTACAGAAAATAGTGATTGTTGAAAACAATCCTCATTCTGTCATTTAATGACTCTTACAGATTTCCAATGTTTTTATTGTCAAGAAGACAGTAATAATAAGATCTAAGTTGGGGTCAGAGTAGTCAACCTCTACGGGGAACGGAGAGAGAAATACATAATTTTAGTTTTAGGTTGATTCGGATTCCACGTATTCCAGATAAACTCTTAAATGTGTCTTGCTCAAGACTGTTGCAATTCCACCTGCATATGCTCCTTTTTATTGATATTTGAGTCATCAGCAAACAGTACCGTGCCATTATCGAAGTTGCAGTATCCAAAATCATTAACGTAGACCATGAAGAGCAGCCGAGCCTTCAAATATGTCACACATATTAATTGAAAATCAGAACCCAGGGATGGACTAAGTAATTTGGAGCAATTTGTGATGTGAAAAAACGCATTTTTGAATTTCCACCGTGCAACGCCGCATTCACACTCAAATATCCCCCCTGTTGCGTGCCGGATCACGAGTCGGATCCAATAAAAGGCGAAATAAATAACACCGGGGCCAATCTCGCGCTAAACGGGTTTTATTCGAATCGGAAATCCAGCCCGCCGCGTCGCGACTACTTTAAATCACTCGAATTGATGGCCTTTCTTTAATTCGAAACGTCGGGAAAACGCCATTCATTTGTTCCCGTGCCTTTAAGCAAAATTCTTCGCGGCCATAAAAAGAGGAACCGGTACCGCGCTTATTCGCGAAACCGATCGGGTACGGCGGGGGAAGAGAGACGAGGTGGCACAATGATATGAAATAAATTTTGGAAAACAAATGGCCGTCGCGCGCACCGCGCACAACACACACAAACACACACAGACTTTTGAAACGTAATCTTTTTTAATGCGACGATAATCTGACCGGCTTGTGTTTCACGGCTTTTACCTTTTCCACTTTACCGACTAGGTAATCTGAATTTAGTATCAGCGGAGGCCGTATTTGGCTGTCCAATGTCAAAATATGTTGACCGTTTGTTGGTTATGACCCCGACAGGCGCGTATTGCGGAATTGTTCCGGAAGAATAGTACTTCGAACCTGGCACGTTTTTAGATTGATCAAATTTATTAATTTAGTAATTTGTTAATAATTTAATAGAAATTAAAATAAGAAACCTCGACGAACACTAACTTTTCAAATTCGAAGTTCCCTCTTTAAACAATTGAAAAACTAACATAACATACACGTTATTTATGTTAGTTTTGGTTAGTTTCTTCTTTCAAAAAGCAAAAACAAAATTCCAATTCCGTTTGGCTCTACCATTTGCATAACAACTTTATCAATCGCCTCCATTTGAGGCAAGAACTTTAATTCATTTTTCAAAAAGCAAAAGCAGGGAATTATTTATTTTCATTGGTATTTGATAGCAAGATACCGTTTGTCAATTCGTAATTTATTACAGAAATATAAAAACCGTCAACCGCCATCTCTTTTGCAGAAATTTTTTAACTTGACACCAATTTCTTATCCATGTAAATTCATGTTTGAACTAGATATTGCCATATTGAACATTTATATACGATTCATAGGGTTGAGATATTCTATTGCACAAAAATCACCTTTCTGAAATTGTCGTTATATTGTTTTTGGCTTTTTTATTTCACAAAAATGTGTAAATACTTCAGCAAAACAAATTTCAGTTTAAAATCATTAAATACACAGGTTTCTGAAAGTCAACTGTTTTGCGGCATAAACAAACCCGTTAGTTGCAAACACTTTTACTTTCACTCTCTAATGAAAAACGCATTCAATAGAGTGGAAACTAGGGGCTTTCCATTCTAATTCTTACGGATAATAAGTGATGGCGTTTTTTGAAAATCAAATAAAACGAAATTGTTAAAGGATGTTATGGACATCTTGGACATAGTGATGCCTTTTTGCTAATTTTCTTCGCAATAAAAATTTTATATGAATCTTCCAGTAATATGGAACGTGAACGTTTTCTATTTCTTTAATACATTTCTTTATATATAGAAATAATGGAAATCAAATATCAAAATTCAAAACCCAATATTTAAGTTGCAATAAATAATTCAAGTTGTGACACCCGGCTATTCCTTTTAAACCACTCTAAACGCGCGTGAATGGTCGTGAAAACATACCGCTGCTTTCCGATCGATACGGCGACATGTTATAGTGTTGTTCTCAGGTTATAGGCCGAGAATTATTACTAATATTATTGTATTTAATCTACGCCAGTTTGTCTTTGTGCTTAAAGTGTCTACATGATAATAATGGAAGCAACACAAGAACAACATCGTGTTTGCAACATTTTTAACCCTTGCACCCGTCCTATTGCAGTATTCATAGGAATGGCTTCCTATATAAATTAAAGAACACTTTGAGTTATCAATGCCAATATACTTTAATATCAGCATTTGTTTCCACTAGTTTTTAAAAAATCCTTTTTGTTTTTTTTTTTTTTTTGGTGAATAATTTATATTTTAATCGATATATCATTTGAATTTTAAAAACCAGAAAATTTTAAGCTGATTACAATATTATATTACTTTAAAACTAGCAGCTAAAATTTCCATCGACATACATTTTAGCTTCAACGCCGCGAACCTCAGCAAAAGAAAAACTTTCGGTGTTTTGTATGTAAGATGTCACCATAAATAAATTCACTAAAGGTAAATTATCAGATTGAATTTTTCAAAAATCGGCTTCGGTCATTTCCAAAACTTTCTTTTTGATACTAGTCACAAGATAACAAACGCAAGCGACAGGATCAAGGCTACAATTAAAATTAAAACCAAGAAGAAGGCGTTGTCGTTCTCTAATGGCTTCTCTATGCTACCGCCTGGCTGACGAGAGAATTGACGCCACAACCTATCGCGGTCAATGACAGCGCGTTTCATAGAAGATTTAAATTTTTTAATTTTTGATTACTTATATTTGTTACATACTACGATATTATTTTTTTTTGTGAACTGTGGTTCTTTTAATAGTATAAACTTACTTTTATAAGCAATATATGTCAAATTAAAATTTTAGTTCCCTATTAGTTAATCAACCTTACGCAAGTCACAGCTAGATCCAACATCCAAGTGTGAAAGAGCTCTAAATAAAACAGTTTTTTAATTTATTTGATAATAACACAAAAAATCTTGTATTGATCAGTATTAATATTGCAGTTTGTCAAAAGATTCACCCATATTGATATTGTTTTAAAAAAGATCAACGAAGGAAGTGAGAACACAAATTTATTTCGTGTGCCAATAAGAAAGTTTTTATAGCATAACAACAAAAATTGACAGTTTTAGGTTTTTTAAAAATGACAATTTTGGATTTGAAGCTTATTTGGACGTTGCACCCAGACGACGCTAGTTCCACTGTATTATTTAGATAAATCGAATCTTTTTTTAGAGAAAATACAAGCGAATATACCCTAAGAAACAATAAAGAACTTATAATAATAAATGGTCTTTATTGGTAATAAAATAATAAATAACCAATTACAAAAAGAAATAAAGAAACACTCAATTAATGTTTTACATTTAAAGAAATTTAAGGGGGTCAGTTGTACAATCTATTGAGGTAGACAGTGGACAATTCCAACATTTCATTTAAAGTTTTTGTTTAAACATTTAAACTGCCTAAACAAGAGTACTATTAAAAATTGAACATTCTTTCAGATTTCCGTCATGTTTCAACCATAACTCAACAGATAGAAAAAATTATTCGATTTTTGAATTGCCTGGTCAAAAAACCAAAAACTGCCAATTTTTATAATAATACCATCAAAAATTGACATGACCTGTTGAGCTTAATAGTAATATTTCGGAGTTGAGTATACCCTGTATAACTCATATTTGATTGCAAGAGTATAAATGAAATGTATATTTTACAGTCTCTATGCTGTAGTACTTCGCCAACTTGAACATAAAAGACGTTTCTTTCCTATTCTATTAACATTCCCCAATAATTTTTAACCCGTCAAGCGTTTCCTCTTCCAGAGGCGCCGCCAAATTAACCGCTTCACCTAAACCGTTGACGGGTTTACGCTCGAATCGCAAACGAAATTATGACGTTTAAAAACTGCTCCGGAATCGTTGACCTTTAAAACCCCGAGAAAAAAAATCCCTAAGCAACGCGCGCGGCGGACTTAACTAGATTCTCCGGGCATAATTTAAGTCGGCGACAGCCAGAATAATTTGTTAATCCCGACGGGACTAAGAATAGGCTCACCTTTATTTCGAGAAGTCTTCTGCCCTCGGTCTTCGGTCGGTGCGCGCCGCCGCTCGTTTTCCCGCGTTCCTGGAATTTCCACACGCCAACTGAAAAAGAGAAAAACAAAATGGGTTTCGGCAAAACGACGGAAAACGAAGAATCGGGGGCGTTGATAAGTTTATCGGTTATTTTTGCGACTGCGGAGTCTTTTTAATGCCGAAACGTTTAGTCGAGGGCCGTTTGTCTATTTGGGACTGTCTGCGTGTGTCGTCGACTTCGGTCGCAATTTATTTCGACATCCGTGAAGAATTGCAGTACTCTTAAACAGTATTAGCCGTTGGCAATTAAGAAAGAAATCAGAACAAACGAAAGAAGTAATAAATATGCGTAAACGTATGAAAAAACGTTCGTTAACCTAGAGACCGACAGATGATCAAACGATGCAATCTTCTTCCGAGATCGGGTACCCGGAACTGTATTTATTTGGTTGTGGAATATTTCCGATTAAAATCGGTATAACTCGGCAATCGTTTAAGCTCGGAGACTGAAACTTTATCCCTCTTAACCAATGAAATGTCGAGAGTCAACTGAAAATTTATATTTCTAATCCTCACACAATTATGTATGAATCAAGCTTGCGGAAGTTGTCACTTTAAGACCTCCTGATGAAGTTGACGTCTTTTGTTACTTAACTAAAACGAATCCAAAAACCAAGGTCATAGAAGACGTAACTCGTTTATTAAATACTCGCTCCATTGCAATCCGTTAGTACCAAGTCAAACTAGTGATTAAAGTGTCGTTTATTAAATCTGCTGCGTAATATACTATTTGAATTTTAAACAGATTTTAAACATTTAAACACGTTAACGAGAAAGTATTGAAAACTTTTTGACAGTCGGGACTTATTAATTATTTGTAAAACAAGGCTTATGGTCTCCAGAGACTTATGGGCTGAAATATGCAAAGTCTCTAACGTGCCCGTGAACGCAAACAAGCAAGCAAAATACCGAAGGCCAGTTTCCAGACCAAATGGAAAAATGTAAACTTTTTATAGCCTGAATGGATACTGTAGAACAACTTTCAATCACATGAGAAGCGTGCTATGCAATTTAAACATTAGAGTCAAAGTTCTTAGCTTCTAGCTTTCTCAATACTAACATATGGAGTGGAAACTTGGACTCTTGGAAACTTGGAGATGTGGTACGACACACGTTACAAAGCGATGGCAAAAAAGCTTAATCAATGGACGCATACTTCAGACATTATATGCGAAACCATAAATATCGCTTACCTCAGCTAATTAAACTGTAAAAGAGGTCCTAGGAGAAACGAGTCTTGTGGCTCCGAAACCTAAGATAATAGAATGGAATGACATTTATAGATCTTGGTGACTCACTTATTGGAATAATCATTGGAGCTATGACTTTCTGACACTGAAACTGGAGAATGGATAACAGTTGGGTATCACAAAGTAGTGGTCAGTGCTAACTTACTAATGGTAGGCCTATCAAACTTCTTTTTATTCATATTTAAGGTCTAGTGATCTGTTAGTTTTGTAGGTTCTTCTGTATCACTTCCTAGGATGTGGACTGCCAGCCGTCCTTCCATCTCTTAGGTGGTCTTCCGGGTGCTCTTTTCCCTATTAATTTCCCTTCAAGTGCAATGGCAATCTTCTCTCATATTCTTCTCACGTGCGCATACTAATATCTTTTTCTTTGTCTCCCCCAAGACATGTAAGACATCGTAAGATTACGATGTCTTGCACCCCACATTGTTCCCTGATGTGAGTGTTTCTAATTCGGTCTCTTCTTGTTTTTCGCACTATAATCTTGAGCGAAGCAAGCTTTTCGTTCTGTTGGTTTCTTCGCTGGGTTCTATTCCTTATGTCATGATTAGCATGATCCAGGTCTAATAGATCCTAACTTTACTATCCTTTCGCATGTATTCGTTAGCCCATATTATCTGCCTGAAGCAGAACGAAATAGCAGCCGCCTTGTTGATCTGTGAGAACTCGACAGATCCATACCCAGACGTTTAAATTGTGAGACTTGCTCGATGATTTTATCCTCAACTACCAGTTTACGCCTTACGGGCTCATTAGCAAAGGTCATGCTTTTCGTTTTTTCTATAGACATGATCATGTTCATCGCTTGGCTGACCTGGCAGAATTTGTGTAGTTGTCTCTATAGATCGTCCTCCATGTCAGCAAAAATAGCTGCATGTATTCTGTCCCATTCGCTATAACATATTTAGTAATGATACTTCGTCTATAATTATGTCCATTAACAGATTGAACAGAAATGGACAAAGGCTGTCCCCTTGTCTGGTACCTTCTGATATCGGTATCTCTTCCGTTCGTCTCCAGCCTTTACTTTAGTCACGTTGTTATATTGAGACTGCAGACTACCCTTACGATGCTGTCTGGCGTTTGTTTCGCTATCACTATACTTATGATGTCGGAGAGACGAACCCTATCAAATGCCTTGGTCAAATCAATGAAGCATACATACGCTGGTGTATTAAATTCTATTGATTTTTCTTTTAGTTCTTTGATAATGAATCGGTTTCGTCTGAAGCCTTGTTGTTTTTCCCTATTTGTTATTTATTTTTTAAGTTTTTTCTTCAAAATGCTAGTAAAGAGTTTCATGTGCTGGTGTTTAACAGCGTTATGCCCCTGTAGTTGTCCGTGTGCGTCTTCTGTCCTTTCTTGAATATAGGGATAGTTATACTTTTGTGCAATTCCGTAGGTATTTCCGATGTTTCTAAAATTATGTTATAGATATATCTCGAACATGCATTAAAAATGTGGAAGAAAAAATATATGGGCATCCCACTGAACAGCGCAAACCTGTATACTCTGAATTTCGCACAAGGTCAGATTATAATGGCACAAGACTACGATGATATAGAATATATGACTCGAAAGCTAATTGAAGAGTGCATGAAATGGGGCCTAGAACTGAACACCCCAAAGACGACGTACATGTGTATCGGTAGAATACAACAAGACCTTGCCCTAGAAGACGGACGGGTCATCAAATCTTCCAAAGCTACAAATACCTGGGACTGAATGTATCAGACTGCGCGAACCCTAAACGCGCGATCAAGGCAGAAAAGCTATTGCTATACTAAATAGCATCCTGTGGTACCAAAAAATCACATGACGAAACAAGCATTTAACATATAATTCCATTATAATATAGTTGTGAAGTTTGGCAACTCAAAGAAAAGATGATGAGAACACTGAAGGCAACAGAGATGGATTTCCGGAGGAGAGTGGCAGGAAGATCGAGACTCTAAAGAACCCCAAACGAAATAATTCTCAATCGCAAACAATCATGAGAGTGAACCACACAATAACGGACGAAATAAAAACAAAACAGCAAAGGATGGAAGAGCGGCGACTCGCTAAACAAGTACTTGGATGCCAACGGGAAGAAAGAAGAGAGGAAGACTGTAGGAAGACCTGTGGAATGACAGGGAGGAATGGAGATCGGGAATCAGACGACGTCGACAGCTATTTACACCGATATTTACATATTTACATATTGGTCCCATTTATGTTGACTTTTCTTTTACCAATGGTTTCTTCGACAACTTCTACAATACATGATTTGATTCTATTCCAACACAGGGTATTAAGTCTTTCGATGATTACTGAAGGTTTTTTGACCCTGTGGACTTAATCCCATTATCATTTTACACAGTAGTAGGTTGTGATCTGTGCCTGTGTTCCCTGAGGTGAGTACTCTTACATCCATTACTTGCGATGGTCTGATTGTCCTGTAACTTATTACATAATAACTCATCGACTTTTGATCTCGGGTATTACTGAATGCATATTTATGTCGCTCTTTGTGAAGGAAATACGTGTTGTTTATTCGTAGCTCGTTTCTCGCACAGAAGCCTATCAGGAGTTCTCCATTTTCGTTGGTTATCTCTCCATTATATTTTTGTTTTATGCCTGGTATCACTTCCCTGTCTATTCTGGCGTTCAAATCCCCGAGTCTAATGATATTATCCGTGCTGCTTAATTTGTTTGTAGTGTTTGTGCCCGTGAGGCCAGAGATTCATATTCTAAATTCAATTCAATAAAATTAGAGGAGCCATAGTAGTTGTCAAATTACCAATGAAAATTAGGCACAAAAAAGAAGAAGTTGTCAATTGTGACGTAGTTATATTCTAAAAGAACCGCCCAACAAATGTCTATGTTCGCGCGTGTATAAACTTCACCCATTTCTAAAAAATAATGAAATAAAAGTGTGCGGCAATTTCGTCGATGAAATTACGTTTAACGTTAACCGTAAATAACGACCGGGGTCGATCGATAATAATATGAAAAACAAATTAAACTCAAATGGCGTGTTTTCCAGCCGTTACACTCGATCACTACGGTGAGCAACAGACATAAATTAATTCAACAATCAAAGCCGTAACTCACGTAGTTTTTTCCGCATGAAATGTACATGACGGCGGATTTATTTTCGCAGATTGTGGCGAACGGATAATTCGAATTCACAATTATTATTTAGACCGGACGTTTAAGAGACCGTTGAATTTTCATCATTTTTTTTTAATGCGTTTTATCAAATTACGAACGTGAAACGGCGAACGCGTCTCTAATCGGCTGATTCATTATTGTCAGACGAATGATTGATTGTTTCGTTTGAATTCCCTACCGATACGGCACCGTAATGATGAGTTTATCTGGAGAATTTTTTTGTTTTTGCTTTGGCGATAAAACGCCTGGCATACCGTATCGTTGATAAACTATCGTTGGGATTAAAAAAACTTTGAGCGGTATTTAAGACATGGAAAATATTATGGAAATTGGTTGAGATAGGCAAATTATTAAATATGAATTGAACGATATTTCTGATATCCTGACGGTTTCAAATATAGAAAAATGAAATTTTCGCAGTAGTGTCCTACTTTTTTGAGACACGTTTTTTAGAAGAAAAACATTTTAACCATAACAATAAACAAATCATTTAACTTTTATCTTATCCCCTGAATCTGTTGTATTTAATAATAAGTAATTATACGAGGTCAGGTGAAAGAGCTATTGGACGGTACTTTACTTTTGGTGGAAGTGGAATACCATATT